TTTTTTTTTTTTCTTCATATTAATAAAGTGTACTTTTTATTCATATTTCATAATACTGATAAAAAATGTATTTTATAAAAATAGTTTTGCGTAAAAAACAAAATTTGTAAATTATTTTCATTTGGAGAAAAAAGAATGAAAGTTTCGCCTTTGTTATTATTTTGAATATGTAAAAAGTAAGCTTTCTAATAACATACATCCACAAATAATACAGCTCCGATAACAGTTGAGAGCGTTTTCCACTTCCGATGATAGAGATTGTCCGTATTTATCCAGGAATGCAATACATCGTTGCTTCATAGCCAAACGTTTTTCATCGATGAGTTTGTAATCAGTGTCTTGATTTCGATAAATGTACTGATAGTCTTGGTCTCGGGACTGCATCAATGTTTCTCGATTTGATAACTTTTTCGGTTTACATTTGTCACATTTGCATTCAAATTCAAATTTCCTTTTGATATATTCTTGTCGATTTTCCACGAAATCCATTACATATTGGACAAACACTTGGTCACCTTTTGATGAATGAAAACATTTTGTTATTTATTGTTTTTTATTTTGTTCGGTCAATTTTTACTCACCTTTTTTAATTGGTCGTTGAGTGATGCCAACTATACGATCCTTCAATCCAAGAATGAGTAAGTGTGGTACGCATTGATGATTGAATAATGAAAAAACGACACCGACATTTGATATATCTTGGCAAGCATTTTGTACATCATTTATTGCATTTTTACTTAAAAGTAGTTGATGATAAGCAACCAAATGCATAAGAAATCGTGCCTTTCTTATTGAATTAAACAACTTCTTCATAGAGGGAAAATTCAATATAATATGATATATGTGTCGAGAGTTCAAATAATCACTATTATTGTCTTTTGAGGGTCCTTTCAAATTGAGGTTCAAAAATAAATGATATTGTGACTTTGGATCATTCGCCTTGGTGGGTATGTCAGTATCTTTTACGGCTCCTTCGACAAATTTCATTAGTTCATCAACATTGCTGAACGTGTCGATTCCAGTCAAAAGAGAACGAATAACGAATTGCTTAAAGCCAGGCGGAGATACCACGCCACATTCCATTGCATGAAAACCTCCTCTTTTCATGCATTTTTCATTACAAAACATTGCATCGACGCAACCATTACAAGCAATAAAATTTTGCACAGTATCTTGGCATACTGTACAACCTTTAAATTTTCCTTCGCCTGTGGCGGATGCAAAACACTCCTCAACCAAAATCGTTTTACCAACGGGAACGTTAGACCTTGCAACAATGTATCTGCCGAATTCGTCGTTTTTTTTAATTTCCAAGACATTTGCCATTCCTGGAAAGTTTTCATCAACCTCGTAGCTTAGCTCCGGAATCTCGATCTCAAAGTCGTTTTTAGCTTCATCGTTATTCATTAATCTTAAGCTTTCGACTTTACGTTTTTCAAGTTTTGACAACCATTTATTTGATTTAATCGCAAACTCAATGTCAACGAGGCATTTTTGGAATAATTTTAAATGAAAGAGGCACGCCGAACGATTTCCATATGCTGTACTTATGTTTTCGGTGTCAATTTCGGCATAACGAAGACTTTCGTTGTATTTTGCCAACGCACCCAACCAATCCTTTTTTGAAAACAATGAATTTCCTGCGATTCGTAATTCGGAAGAAATTTGATTATTTTTTTGAGTTTCCAATACATTTTCGTCAGCTTCATAAAATAGTTGAGGAATTTCCACTTCTGCTGGAGTTTGATCGGATTTCATCAACTCAAAACATTCATCTTTTCTCTTTTGAAGTTTTGACACACGTGTGTTTGCTTTGATCGCCAGCTCAATGTCGACAAGACAGTTTTCGTACATTTTCATCCAAAGAAAGCACGATGATCGATTTCCATAAGCCAAGCTTACGTTTTCGGAATTAACTTCAGCATACCGAAGACTTTCGTTGTACTTTTCCATTGCATTTAGCCAATCGTTGCTGTTGAACAATGTATTTCCTTCGGTTCGTAGTTTTGTTGATATTTTATTGCATTTTTTTGGTTGCATTGGTATTTGCATTGTATCGAATCCATCGCCGAATAAATCAACATAATTAGCATCGACTTCATTTGATTCCTTTTTCCACAAATCCGCAATAAATGCATTGAACATAATTAATGTTTTTATATTTGCGATTCCAATATTGATAGATTAAAATAACACACACTTTTTATTTATTTTACTTCAAATGTTGAACAGAAACAAAAATTATAAAATTTAATACAAATGTTGGTTAATAGTTATCAAATTACAACTTGTTGCATTTCGTCCCTACGTATTTATGTTTGTTTGGTTTTAAGATTTGACAGGTCTACAAGTGCACAATGCGTGACCAACCATTGTTCTCTACAATCCAAACTCTACACTCTACAAAGCAAATTCGGTTTTTTCAAATCAATTTCGACTCTTCGAGATTATGGATGAATTTTTTTGAAAAAATCAATAATTCAAGACGAAACTTGAAATCGTTTAAAATATTTCCAACTGGTATCTATCAGATTGCTGACACATAAATAAAATATTGCTCTCGTTGAAATGTTAAATCAATTAATATTTGATATACTATTTTGTGATGAATAGATCAATTAATTCACTCCTTAAAAAACCTCTCAACTTCATATGCCTAATAAAACAACTTGATTTGGGCAAAGGTCGATATAATTTCACACGATTAGACATATTGCTTGTTGTGAACACTATTGACGTAGACTATGTTTCAACAATCAAGTGGCAATTGGTAAATGTAATATGTAAATTTAATTCATTTATATGGTTGTTTTGGGAAATATGACAGAATGGTAAAATTCGTACGGAAATTGCTAACATTAATAATAAACGTACGTAAAGAATGTTAGCAAATGAAGAAAAATGTTATAGTTGATAGTGTACTTAACTTTTTTTTAAATAATTTTTCATATAACCAGTTACAAAGGAAGAGTTTTATTTTTAAAAAAATTTCATATCTGCAAAATTGAATTTAATTATGTGGAAAAATATGGAATGTTGGTCAGTTTGCTTAATTGATATTTTAAAAACATTTTTCCAATGTCACGACAAAAATTTGCGACTCTCTAATATGTGGTTACCTCCAACTGAAAAAATATTCGACGAAAGAAGGAAAAAAAATCATATTTTAATATTCTTGTTTACTGTTAAATGAATGCAAGTGAATAAGATTTACCTTCATCATTCGTATTGAAGTCATTGTTTCAGAATCCATTATCAGTTATGGTGCCATTGCCTGTTTCCATTGACACATCTCCTGTTCGGTTTAAAAATAAAATTTAGTTTAGATTTGGAAATTGAATAAAGATGATTGTAAACGTAAAAACTTACGAATGATTTCGAGCGCTTCTTTGCATGCTTCGTACGTTTTTTCTTTTTCTTTATGTTTCTCAGCCTCAACTGAACTTAATGCGAATAGTTTTGTCTATAAAAAACACATGCAAGTATAAGTCATTACTAATTATAGCCTTAAACTGTCCCATGAAAGAAAAATAATTCTTACATTGACATCAGTCGGGAGAGCAAGAAGCTCTATTAGCAACGTGTTGTTGATGTACTCTTGAAGCTCCTTAATGACATACAAAGTAGTTGCTTTTGGAACCATATCACGAGTAGTCTTCTTAACGATGCGCATGTATGAATCAATTTTTTCGTAAATAACTTCAACTTCTCCATTAAGCGTTGGATCCACTTGTTCTCGTTCTTCTTTTTTCTTCATTGGAAAAAAAAAAAAAAAAGATTATTAAGCAAATGATAATAAGCAAATTTAAAAAACCGAATCGCCGTAAAATCTTACATTTGTTTCACTATTAACGAATTGATTGTCCTCAGGTTGTGAGTCATGACCTTCTTCTGAACTCGTTGACCTGAAATGACATTGTAATGAGAAAAATGGTTCCAAATTATATTCCTTGTGAATTTGTTACCAAATTCAAGTGAAATGCTTACTTATTATCGTCACTTTTGACTTCGACAGTATTTTCAACGCCTAAAAGGATGTAAGTAAATAGCATTTAATAGAAAAAAGTTAAGCTTTAAAGTGGCACAGCGGGACCGGCCGTTTCAAGCACTGTTCTGGCAGCCGGCTTTTTTTTACTCTACTCTCTAAATATTCACCTTCAAAGGAGTTTCCAATTTCATTATCCTGTTGAATTTTATTAACGGTCTGGCTAGTAGGCAGCATTTCTAAAAAAAATTAGTAAAAAATCAATCACGCTAAGCATTAGGAGAAACATTTAATAAAAATGTGATGTCTATACCCGAGATAGACTGATTGGCCACGCTATTTCATTGAAAAAGAAAACACAGTGTGGAATTAATAAATAAAAATTAATTAGTTTTTAACCAAG